GGTTTTGGAGGCTCCTCTGCTGTTTTTGGAGGCTCCTCTGCTGTTTTTGGAGGCTCCTCTGCTGTTTTTGGAGGTTCCTTGGTTGGCTTTGAAGGCTCCTCAGTCAGTTTTGGAGGCTCCTCTGCTGGTTTTGGAGGCTCCTCTGCTGATTTTGGAGGTTCCTTGGTTGGCTTTGAAGGCTCCTCAGTCAGTTTTGGAGGTGGCTCTGGTTCTTTAGGTTTTTCTGGTAGTGGAGGAACCTGACCTCCAATGCTTCAAAGAAGAACATTGTAAAGAGTAATTAGACTAAATCAAACATCAAGCTCCCAAAATAACACTTAGAACAGTCTCTCTTTATTGTTTTTAAAAACAATAAAATAAGTAGAAGTAGCCATGTATTTCAGTGGAATAGCCAAGGGAAGATCCTTTTATTAATGGGAGTCACCTAAAAAATATTAATCTGATAAGTTTCAAGTTACTCTCACAGCAATCTTATAATTATTGTACCTAAATTAGTTACCCTACCCTCATCAGCTAGTGTATAATTTTTTTAACAACTAAGGCTCTTTTACATACAAAGGCTTTTTTACATTATTAAGATGTGCTAATTATTGCACATGTGACAATCAATACTTCAGTTGTCCAACAGTGTGGTAATACCCTTCTTGCATTTGTGTACCTCAAACTCAGCATGAGTTTAACATCAAACTCAGCCATTGTTTAAAATGGTCTACTATCTTTGGTTAGTTTATTCCATAGTTTTGACCCTGATTATTTGACGAGGAGTTTCCCATAAGTCATGGTAAATCAAAGACCATATTTCAAGATCTTTGTTTACCATTTGTCCAGTTTCATTGAATATCACCGAGAGTCTGCTACCAACGAAGAAAATCATAGTTCACAATTCCGTATATCACAAAAACAAACAGGAAGTTAAAACAAATTCTACTTCCGTCTTGGTTGTGAGGTGAATGCTCGCACTCTGCAAGGGCTCAGAAGAGTAAAAGGAGTTTTTTTTTTTTTTTTAAATCAATCAGCATTATATCTAATTACAAAATCCTACAGAAATGTCAAATTTCTGAAATGAAACGCTGAAACTTGTATGGTCTCGAGAAAGTGAAATGTACCCAAGGCCTGAACGTTCGTATTTTGGGTACGTTACGTATACACGGAGGTCTGACAAACTTGACATCGACATAAAGGAAAACTGAAATAAACATGTTTGAAATATCAAAGTATTAAATGTATCGGCATATTTTTGTGGCAATCAATAGCTTGGGGTCTCCATTGAAATTGTCAACTACGCATTCTAGGGAATTGACGAACTGAGTTCCACTGCACGTGCCTTTTCGCTGACAGTACAATACAACGACAAGGTACAATACCTCTCCAGCCAATCTTTGAAGAACTTCAGCTGTGGAGCATGTAAATATTCAGGCTTCGCTTTACACAATCCAACAAATTGCTTGACCAAGCTAATCTGGGTTTCATCAAATTTTGAGGCCATTTCTGCCTCTTGTGAACTTACAGCTTCGTTTAGTTCAGGTTTCAGATTATGCATAGACAACAATCCTTTGCGCTATGTCTCGAAAACTGGACCCTATCGCACTACTTGTACCGGCCGAGAGGATCTGAGGACAGCCACAGAAAAGAGGAATAACCTTTCACGGTTCTCCAACTTCTAATGGGTTTGAAAGAGTTTGAGAATAAGGGATGGGTCGCACTTGGGCAAATTTTTCAACTTTGCTGGCAAAAAATACACAGAAAATTTGAAACCGCAACCGGAAAGCAAACTTTTGGTTTCAACTATCAGGGTCGCACTAAGTGAAAAAAATGTCAGTGATGACACTTTGATAAATCAGACACACGTTTATCGACGTGTTATGGGGAGAGAGCTGTGAGCTGAAAAAGGAAAACAAACGTTAAAAAAAAATGCGTCCCGTTGAAGCATTGTTAATAACGATCACGGTGATGCTTATTCTTCTTATTCAGTTAAATCACGAGCACTTTTTTGTCTTTTGTATGATCTATGAAAGATGGGTCAACGCCTGTTTAACTGTTTTGACTGCCGCTAAGATGACAGCGAGAAATCGACGTCAGCGAAGATTACTTCGAGCGCCATATGCCAGGTCAGTTCCGCGACCAGTCAAGTCGTTTGCTGTTTACTGACAAGCGATGGCAGTTACCATCGTGATAACTACTGCGAGCCCGAGTTTTCCGAAATCTGCCTGCCCCACCCAAGCACTACGGCGTCTTTGATGTTTTGGCCGGTTTTCAAAGTTTTTGCGAACTGGAAAAGTTAGGGTCGCATTAGGCAATGTGCCCCGATGACAGATTTTTACACCAAAGTGACCACATTCACACCAAACTTTGCCAAGTGCGACCCATGCCTTAGTGATCAACAGTAAGCGTTTTGCAAACAGTGACATCTCTGCTAGTTGCTTTACTCAGGTATTTCAAGCTCGCGATCTCCTGAAAATAACAAATATTAATCCTCAGTAAGAAAACCAGTCTTTCGCTATCGAAACAATTAGCTCCCCAAACATGTGGGGAGCTAATTTAGTTTCTGCAATCCGCAAGATAAAAGACCCGCAAAAATTTCTTGCCACGCGGCATCCTAGTAGTCACGTACAAAATTCATAACTTTAAGAGTACTT